CAGAACCAGGTCTTGAACTCAGATCTCATGACATTGCGTCATGTATTCCTTTCTCTACATGATTCTGCCTTTCAACTCAGTCAAGTCCATGTAAAAAGGAAGGGAACAAGAGCCTACTATGTGCCAGGCACTATGCTAAGTGCTTTGCAAATATTATAATTTGATCCTCACAGCAACCCCAGGCAGCAGGTGTTACTATTATCATCTTTATTTTACCTCTGAGGAAACTGAGGCAGAGATAGGTTAACCAACTTACTGAGAGTTACACAGTTAATATGTGTCTGAGCCTGGATTTAAACTCATGTCTTCCTTACTTTGGGTCCTGCACTCTATGCACTTTACAACAAATTTTGAGGTTCAGTGACTTTATCAAGGTCTCATGATTCACATGACCATTCCTTGGACCCATATCTTCTGATATAGATCTGTTCCTATTATAATGCACCTGTTGTACCTGGAAGGAGTTTTAGTTTTTCAGTCAGTCAGTTAACAAGTATTTATTAAGCACTTAACTATGTGCCAGGTAGAGTTCTAAGTGCTGAGAATAAAAAGAAAAGCAAAAATATGGTTTTAGCCACTCGACTGGATTGTTTCTACTACGTCTAAATAAGTGATGGGAATGATTAGTTTTTTTGAGAACTCTGGGTTGTCGTATGCTAATTAACACAAATAACAATTCTTACCCGGCCAGCATTGTGTCTGAAAAACCATCTTTGACAGCAAAAAACTTAGCATCAAGGAAAGTGGAAACAAATAAGTGTTTTCTCACATTAATGGCCTGAATTGCTAGATATTTCAAATACACTATCAACAGAATGACAATTTATCTGACAAAGGAGAGAATGCACAAACACATTTCTGAGTATTTTCTTTTCTTGAGACATTAAAGATTCAACTGAAATCCACAGATCATTTAGCTTATTAATGCAATTTTAGGAAGGCATCTTAATGCACTGAGCTCTAATTTGGTTAACATGCTGATTGCAGAGTGAGTCGTCTTGCCTGACTTCCTTCAGAGAGATCTCTTAATTTCCGTGAAAGATCACTTGCTTAGAAGTCTAAACCAGAGTTCTAGCCACAGCTCACTCCAAAGGAGACAAATAAAGCCAATGAATTACTTAGACTTGCAGGGGTGGGGAATTTGGGGCTCCAAGACCATACGTGGCCCTCTAGGTCCTTAAGTACGGCCCTCTGACTGAATCCAGCAGACTTCACAGAGCAAATCCTCTTTGTAAAAGGATTTGTTCTATAGAACTTGGACTCAGTCAAAAGGCCACATCCAAGGACCCAGAGGGCCTCATGAGGCCACATGAGAAACCTTTACAGAGGTTTTTTCTTTTTTTTTTCTCTGCAGAGAAATAGGCCCCAATCAGTATAGTACTTTGGGAAAAGCATTGAGCTAGAAGGCAGGATAACTGGCTTCTAGTCTTATTGTGGCTTTCAAGTGGTTGTATGATTTTATTGTTGTTCAGTTGTGTCCAACTCCTCATGACCTTGTGGACCATAGCATGTCAGTATTGCCCACGGGGCTTTCTTGGCAAAGATACTAGAGTGGGAGGTTGTGACTTTCCCGAGGTTACCCAGATAGTAAGTGTCAGAGGCAAGATTTAAACTGAGACCTGCTCATTCTGCTATAATGCTTCCTTGTCCCTTATATTATCATAAGGTGAAATGTTGATTGATTTGCTCAATCAAGCCACCCCACCCCAATTAAAGTGACAAAATGCCCTTATAACTTAATGAGGTAAGAATACATCTCAATCAATCCATCATAGACTTTAAACTAAGTGTAAGAAAAAATTGGAACTGGAGTGATTTTGCACAGGAAGAATATTCAGATAGACTGAGGAAACTTAGTCACTTCCCCCAAAAAAAAAATCTACAAAGCTAGAATTATTTCAGAGGTTAGAATAAGTGCTGCGTCCAGTAAAATCCATTAGAAGAAGGCTTTGGGGGGAGGGAAGAACAAGGGCATATACTTATGCTTTGGCCTTGGTCTATGTCTCCCTCTAACCTTACTCCCTCTCCCTTCTTTTTGGCCTAGGTAGGACCTTGTAAGATCAGATAGATTCAGAGGATGTTTTATTTCCCATCTTCCCAGTACTGCCCATATGGCAGTGCCAGACTAGAAAGTCTGTTTTGGGATCCAAGGTTAGCTCAGGCCTATGTTCATGGCTCTGCAAAGAGCCCAGCAAAAGAACTATACCATGCCTAAGGGTAACTTCTCAAGCATCCAAGGAAGGGTACAAAAAAGGACTTCCTACAACCAAGAGTTATGAGTTATTTCTTTGCTACATGTACTCTCTAAGTTCAAGCCCACATTCTGCTGGAATCTGTATCTACTTGTGGGAGAGTATGTCCCAGACTTGGGGTATAGGTATGTTTTGTAACAATTATTCTTACTATATCACCTTAGTAAATACCCCTCTCCAAAAACTAATTGAATCTGGTTGACCAAATGATAATCCATAATCCTGGAGAAAAAACACTAGAAAGTAGGTGGAACTGATAGCATGACCCCTAGCTCCCTCAGGAGGATATGTAGCCATACTCTGAAAACCCAATTTAGAAGTGTAAAACTGGGAGTTGGGATTATGAAGCTCAGAGTTTTTAAAGGTCACATTATCTTTGACTCATCACTCTCCTACTCTTACATTTAATCACTGATTAAGATCCGTTGGCATTACTCCCAAACATCTCTATCCCCTCCCGCAAGTTGTCCATCATAATAATACTGGAAAATCTACATTACACGTTATCTAATATTGGTAAGGTGCTTTGGTAGGCTCATAAGCAGTATTGCCAGGGGGTTGGCAACCCCCTTTCACTCCTATGGATCACGCTTTTGCTTCTAAGCCACTCTCTTAGCTCCTTTCCTGGGGCAAAATTTTCTTTCTGTCCACTTCCTCTGCTTTTGCCCCTCTAGAAGAGTGATTTTCCTTTCAACACAATTATAGGAAAACAATGGAAAGGGAAGAGGCCAAGGCCCCACTTTCCAATGCAGGCAAGCCTGTTATATTTGCAGTTTGTAAGTTTCTCTCTTTCTGTCTCTGTCTGTGTCTTTCTGTCTCTGTCTCTCCCTCCCTCCTCTTTTTCTCTCCTTTCTTGCCTCCCTTTCTGTCTCTGTCTCTGTCTCTGTCTGTGTGTGTGTATGCATCTGTCTGTCTGTCTCTTTCCTGTTCCCTCTCCTCTCAAAATAAAGAGTCAATTATTCTCTTTATTTCACTCAGAGCTCCCAGCTAGGAAAAATATTAGCACTTTAGAAAAATGTTGAAGTTTTAAATCTGTCGTTTTCCCTTCCTGGGCACCTTGTCCCTCTCTGTGTGTCACATTTATGCAATTACATATGTAAGCTAGAACTGCAATTACATTTATCATGCTTAAAATCAGAGAAAAGAGAAAAACAACTCAAGAAATGAAGATTTGGGGAAAAGGCACACCTCTATAGGGAAAGAAAAGGGAAGAATAAAAGGGACAAGGGAATTGGTGTATCACCATCGCTTGGTCTGCTTCTCTGAGTGAGCTCAGTAATAACCACTTCCTCTCAGACACTCCTCATGGCCCTCAAGTTCAACACTGGTAACCTCAGCACTTCCACTCTTACTTTCATTATCATTTCTCTCCAAGTCTCCTGTTTTGATTTTTTAAAATGCTTATAGTGCTTTTGTTCTCATAAGGTAGGTAGCACAAATATTACTACTATTATTTTTGGTTTGGACCTATGATGTCATTGATGATAGACAGATAGGTAGATAGATAGATAGATAAATGTATAGATAGTTGGATAGATGGATAGATAGATGGATAGACAGACAGGATAGACAGACAGACAATATAGATAGACACAGGATAGGCAAATAGGATAGGAAGACAGACTTAAATAGACAGACAGACTTAAACAATGAGTATGTATGTGTCAAGCAAGCATTATGTTTTAATAAGCACTTTGGATAGGACGGCAAGAAAATATGATAGTTTCTACTAAGACAAAACTTGAAGAGAATCTGTAATTCAAAGAATCATGGATAAAGGTTCCTCAGAAGAAATCTAGTCCAACCGTCTGATTAGTTGTCCTCTATGCTCAGAAAGGACCAAAATGACATCACTACCTTGGGGATGCAGCGTGTTTGACTGCGGCTGATCAGACCAATAAGAACTCAGAAGGATTCAGCACAGGTCATGCACAAATAGTCCATAGGAACGTTTGAGGTGGAGATGGCTCTAAATTTACATATATCACATTTCTTTTGAGCTACTGCAATTCTTCTTCACTCATAGAGCACAACTCCTTCTTTGAAGTGGGCATGCCATGCTAAGTGGTCTTTTGTCAGTGTCTCTCATGTCACTCAACCTTCTACCTGAAGCATGAATTCCCTCTGCAAAGCACTATAAGATTGAACATGCTACAGATGACAAGAGGAAATAAGCATAATACTGTTTTTATGTTATGTGTTTGTGAGTACATATATAAATGTGTATGTTTATGGATGTGTGTATACATATATATATATGTGTGTGTGTGTGTGTAAATGTGTATCTCCATGCTTAATTGTAGCTTTCTGGGGGGGGGGGAATGAAGTAAAAAGTGCACAACAGAGGACAAAAGAAAACACACAAGAAAAAATAAAGGATGTATAACTTTGAAAATAATGTGTAGTATTGCTTAGATAGGTTTTCTAGAAATAGAAATTTATTGCTTTATAATGAATCCTCTCATGTTCTGTTGTGTACATGGCAATGTTTAAAATAAATTTTCAAATGAAGGAATTAACACCTTAAAAAAAAGATTGAACATCCTAGACAAACAGGTAGATAGGTAGAAAGACGGATAAAACTTTTATTAAGTGCTTACTATGTCACAAGCAGTGTGCTAAGCTCTGAGAATCACAAAAAGAAAGGTAGTTCCTGCCCTGATGGAGCTTACATTTTATTTTATTTATTTTTAAAGTTTGACCAACCATTTTATTTTCCTCTGATCAGTTCAGGAATGTTGACGGGCAGATAGCTCTTTACATAGGCTTTGGAGGGGGTCTGGGGGCAGCACCTGCAGGTCTGAGGCGGAGTGGCGGCGTTCGACGCTTTCCTGCCTCCCGGGACCGATTCCTCACTACCTTGCTGTGGATCGCCCAGCTCACACAGTCATGCAGTTTCCCATACAGTTTGGGCAGCACGTAGGAGTCCAGGACGCTGGCCTCGGAGATGTGCCCGACGGCCGCGGCTTCCACGATGCTGCGGGTGTAAAGCTTCTTGATGGCCTCGTCCTTGGGCTCGCAGCGGGCGCAGCGGGTGCAGCGGAGGGGCAGCACGTGGCCTCGGCCCTCCTGGGCGTGCCCGTTGTTCCTCCTCTTCTTGGGCATCTTGGAAGCCAGGAACCGAAAAAAGCTGAAGCTTCCATTTTAACGGAGGAAGACCCCACATAAAAGGGAGCTAAAAATCGGAGTGGGGGAGGCAACATAACTGTGAAAGGGAATGATTAAAAAAAAATCAATTCTTAAGAGTCAGGAGTGGAGCAAAGAAAGGAGCAGAATGAACTTAGCAGGACTGAGCTCTTCCTCAAAATGGAGGGGAGCTCACCAACGTGAGGGGGAGGTTACGGGGAGAAAGGACCTTCCAGGGTGAAAGAGCGTCTTCCATGCTGAGAAGGTTGATGGGGCTTGGTGAAGAATTCTGGAGGAATGAAGAGTGAGTGCAACCGACTCCGACTGGGACAATTTCTCAAAATGGAGGACGTAGGGAAAGGGGCTGCAGGGGCAGAAGGCTCTTTCCGGGCGAGACAAAGAGCTCTGAACGTGAAGACGCATGACCTGATTTTGAGTCTTTGCCATGCACCTTATTATCTCTGTGGCCTTGGGGAAGTCACTTTACTGGTGTATTTTCAAATGCAAAATATGGTAGCAGGACTAGAAAATCTTTAAGGAACATTCAGTACTATAGCTATGATTATATTACTTCCCGTGACTGTACATAGCTTTTCTATCCTTCTTTATCATAAACTCTCTGATGGAGTGGTCAGTTGCTCCCAAGATTCCTATAGTTTCTATTTCATCAATCATTTCCTTCTTAGGATCATTTGAAAGTTTTTCTTTTGGTGGAACTAAAAAAATCCTCCTAGTACCTTCAACTCATTGATCCCAATTCTGCTTTCTGGCTTCAAGTAGAAAAAAATCTTTATTTCTCTTTCGCTTGGTAGTTCTCCACACATATTAAAGCATTTATCATGCCTTAGGACACTTTCAGAAAAGGCATCCAGACTTTATATCAAAAGCAGACACACACGTATATACGTGTGTATGTATATAGGTCTGTATGTACATAATACAGACATATATACAGAATATATATGTTACATGTATATGTATTTATATACACACATACTTGCATACACACACATGACCAGACTTTCTATTATAGTTTTTTTTAATCCCCTCACCATCCTAGGACACTATCCTCTCGATCAGTGATTCTCAAAATGTATGCTAGGCCTTACACTTAATAATCATATACACTTGTGAGAAATTTTGACTCTCCCATAGTAGGTTGTGTTCCTTGTGGTAAAAGATAATGCTCTACTGTAAGCAAAATCAAATTCCTAACTGTGTCATTCAGAACAGAATTCCAGATGTGATCTGACAGCTGGTAAGCTAGTAAGTGACTCACCCAACACTTGAACCCAAATTCATAAGTTTTGAAGCCTGGTCTCCTGCCTCCAGGCACTTTCCTGTACCTGATACATCACTCCTGCCTCTCAGATGTTGCTCTTATCTCGATGATATTAAGAAAGAAATGGAGATGATTGCAGTCGGTGTATTGCTCTCTGTCCCCCATTGCAATGACTTTCATTGCAGTATAAACACTCTCATGTTATACAATGTTATTATCCTCATCACTAGAAATCATAGAATTGTAGAATTCCAGAGTTGAAAGGCATCTCAGAGGTCATCCAGTGCAACCTCCTAATGGAATAGTCTCATTCTCTGCAGCTCTCTGGGACTTTGCCCTGACAGAGATAGTAGCAGGCACTGACCCAGTAATTATTGTCTTTGAGTGCTCTATTATTTCAGACCTCGGGGTGTGATGAGATAAGGAGGCCCCATGAACTGAAGCTATAGTCAAGAGCAAAAGGTTCCATATCCAGCCCTTTGCCCTTCCTAGCTTTATCATATATTTCTGAGAATTCAATTTCCACAAAAGAAGAGGGTTAGTAAGTTGGATCCAAGTCTCCACAGTGGAAAGCAGCAGTTCTGTTCATTTGTGAACTGGGCTAATCTTTAGCCAAATGGGTATGAAATATTCATATCCAATTCTTTTCTATCTCATATTAGGTAAGGTCAATTCTTCTACGTAATGCCCTCCTGTCATTGTCCTTCCCTTCATAATACATCCTACAGTGCCTCATCTAACTGTGAACACTTTGTATAACGCCCATGTCTATTGATTCCCCCATGCTAATCTATTCCAGTAAACCATTGCTTCTGCGTATATTCCACTGGGTTAGGGAATAGTATTAAAGACCTAATGCATTATTGCAGTGTTTTAGAGGTTACCGAAAAGCATTACAAACACTTTGTATGACTTGATACTCATAGGGACCCTGGGAGATAGGGGAGGCAGTGCATCAATAACTATCAATCATTTGACAGGTAAAGAAATAAGCCTGAGAACAGTTAAGTAACTTGCTCAAGGTTAACAAGCACCAGAACCAGGATGCCAACCCAGATTCCAAGTCTGGAGTCTTTTTCCTTTTCGTACTGATAAAGGAATCTATGGCTAGATGTTAACTAACCATGCCTACCACCCTCATTTAGCTTGGTCCTGATAAAATTATTACCCTGGTGATGTATTCATTTGTTATCTCATTAGGAATTTTCTGGAGACAATTGGGCTTGATTCAAATAATTCTCAAAGTGGCATAAAATAATAATAACAACAATCACTAACATTTATATAGTTTTTTTTTAATTTTACAAAATGCTTAACAGATATTAGTTCATTTGATCTTCACAACAACCCTGGGAGGTGGGTATTATTGTTATCACTACTTTACACTTGAAGCAACTGAGTAAGGCGGAAGATAAATGATGTCCCCAGGGTCACAGAGCTAGTGTCTGAAACTGGATTTGAACTCATGTCTTCCTATCTCCAGGTCCAGCAGTCTATCCACTGTGTCATCTGACTACCTCTATCTAGGCACCATTGCAGGCTGGTCAGTGATTTATTTGATAGCAGGTTAGGCAACACAAATTACTGGAAAGGAACATGTCTGAAGTCAGAGGACCTAGATATAGATCCCTAGCTCTGCTATTTAATACCTGCGTTCTTTTGGGACAAGACACTCATCCTCCTCGCCTCACTTTCATCATCTGCAAAAATCAGAATATTGAATTAGATCAGGGGTGAGGAAACTGTGGCCTTAAGCCCCCACCCCTGGTAGATGTTCTTACATGTTATGCATTCGAATGCCCTTATCTAAAGGTAGCTCTTCATTACTGATTGTAGTTTTTTCAATGTAGAAAAAGAGGGAAGCTTACACTTGTAAAAACAAATTTAATTTAGTCTAGGGTCACCATTCATCTTTTGCTTCCTCCTCAAATAATGTAGTCAAATCAATATACCAATTCCTTTTCTTTCTACTTTCTAGAATCAAATACAAATCCTTCTTTCCAGAGCCAAACCCATGAATGTGTAACCCTCAGAAAGGGATTTCTGTTCTCTTAGCCATATAGTTCTCCAGAATCATTAACTTTATAAAAGCTTCTGTCAGCAAAAATAACACAGATTTCTCATTGCAAGGCTGTTTCCTTTCAAAAAGTTAAGGAAAAGGATCAGATCCTTATCAAATCCCATCTCACTGACACCTATAAATCATGTAGTATGAGGGCCCCCTACTTCATCTACCTACAGAGCTGGTATTCTAATTATGAGAATAATCAAGTCTACCAAACAAATAAAACAAACAAAAAATGATGTCCCTGACAGTGCGTAGTTTCATTCTCTCAAACATAATATGCTTGCTTTTCTTCTTGTTGTTCAGTCATTTCAGTCATGGCCAACTCTTTGTGACCCCATTTGAAGTTTTCTTGGCAAGAATACTGGAGTGGTTTGCCATTTCCTTCTCCAGCTCGTTATTTTTTTTTTGTTTGTTCGTTTGGTTGGTTGGTTGGTTGGGGTTTTGTGTGTGTGTGTGTATGTGTGTGTGTGTGTGTGTGTGTGTGTGTGTGTGTTTTCTTTTTTGGTTTTTTTTTTGTATTTTTTTTCCTTTTTAGGCAATTGGGGTTAAGTGACTTGTCCAGGATCACACAGCTAGTAAGTGTCAAGTATTTGGTCTGAGGTCGGATTTGAACTCAGATCCTCCTGACTTCAGGGCCTTTGCTCTATCCACTGTGCCACCTTGCACTGAGGCAAACAGGTTAAGTTACTCGCCCAGGGTCACACAGCTAATAAGTGTTTGAGGCTGGATTTGAACTCATGAAGATAAGTCTTCCTGATTCTAAGCCTAGTTCTCTATCCACTGCACCACCTAGCTGCCAATAAAGTTGTTTTATACATTCTTGTACATATGAGTCTCTTTCCTCCTTCGATCTCTTTGGGCTATAGGTATAGTAGGAGCAGTATCACTAGGTTAAAGGGTATGCACAGTTTAATAACTGTTGGGATGTAGTTTCAAATTACTTTCCACAAAGCCTGGACCAATCAGCAGAGGGCTTTTAGGCACAGGAAGGAATCCTATACTGCATGGGACACAAGGAGTTAGATGAAACATTATGTGAACCTGACTCATCACTAGCTATTCCAGCCTAGATGGCTTGTCTCATCAACCCCCATTAGCTTGGTGAGTGAGGGTAACTGGAGAGGCTTCAAACTATGAGGACTTTAAGATTCAACATACTATAATAGAAAGAGCATTGGCCCTGAACTTCTGATATGGCTTCTGATAATTACTACTGATGTCACTTTTGGCAAATCACTTCTTTGGGTATCATTTTCTTGAACTATAAATGAAGGAAGTTGGACTGGATGTCCTCTGAGGTCTCTTTTAGTTCTAGGTCTATTATTCTATAATCTCCTTGTGCCCCAGTTTCCTCCTTTGTAAAAATTAGAAAGTGAATAGGATAGTATCTAAGGACCCTCCTAGTTCCATAATTCTACAAAACCTCTGAACCCGACCTTCATGCCCAATGATTTGGTCCTTCTTTCCCAAAGTTGTGTATTTCCTATGTCGCATCCTTGGGGCATTGATGACCACAGCTGCCCAGGCTAAGTTGTTCAGGTCTTCTGGGGAAGGTGCCACATTTTTCCGCAATCTTTTTGGTCCTTGAGGATTACTAGGGGCTAGTGAGTGTTGGTAGAACAGATTCCA